ACTAAGACTAGAAAGGGGAGCTGCTCAAGATCCAAAGACTTTGATCAATAGCTGGTTTGGAATTGGGCAGCTTAGGAGATGCTATCTTAATGGATTAAAACCTRTTAATGGGATGAATCTTTGGGAGATAACAACAGATGTGAGGGTAAATCCACCTCCTTACAAGAAGCTTCCTGGTAGACCTTCAGGGAAGAAGAGAAAGAGAGAGAAAGGTGAAGCTAGGCCTGGAAAACTTCCTAAGAGAGGAGTCAAAATGGTTAGATTCTATGCTTTTAGACCATATAATCCATTTMTGTGTTGATAATACAGTCTAACTTTTTCTTTCTATCACTACATAGCGTTGTAGCATATGTASACAAGAAGGGCATAGGAAGAACAAATGCACCAACGAAGCTGAACCTAAACAAACGAATCCACGTGGAAGACCACGGGTCAAGCCAATAGGTCCACCTCCTACTGGTGTATCTTTAAGCCAATCAATCGAATACCAAGAAAACTCTTTTTTCAGCCAAATTGAAACATGGTCAGCTTCTCAACCATGTGAAGATCTTCCTACTCTATCAGGTGCACTACCAAGAAAGAAGCGTGGAACCACGCAAGAATCCGATAGAAACAGTGTCAAGTTCAGCATAAGCACCTTCTCCAGGTCCAGTTTATGACAATGCATCGTTTTACTGCTCCGTTAACAATATAACGTCCGTTACAGACAATGGCTGTATTGCAGGTGACTTAGAAGTTCGGTGCATTGACTTGCATTTTTTGTAGTTGAGGGTTAAATTTGCAAAAAAAGTGTCAATTATTTTTTTGCAGAAAACTCTTGTATATATGATGTTAAATATTTGTTGTTTATGGCAATCAATTTATGAAAATTAATTATTTTTTTTTAAATAATTGTAACAATATTATCATTTATCAATCAAAATTTAAGTCAACAATCTAACTTATTATATTAATCAACCGAATATTTGAAGTCAAATTTAATTATAGACTACAATTTTTTTTTGGCTCACTAATCTTAAGAATCGGCAATTAAGTCTTCACTATTTATAAAATATTTCATCTCCACTCCCGTTCTCAATTATCGATGTGGGATAAAAGCTAACATAACTTTTTCGTGTCAAATTAAAAAAAAAACGAAAATTAAATAATATAACCATCACTTTTTAATTGATGGAAATTTTATATAATTTTTCTAAATGATGCTTATAAAAGTTATAACATATATCAATTATTTAACTCATATAAATTCATATTTTGTGTCGTTTCCTAACAAAATTATGCAAATTACATT